AAGGTATAGATTCTTCCTGAAATGTGCTTCAAGCCTTTGGAATCTACTGATCATAGCAACTGACTAATAATTTTTCGCTTTTTTTGCATACCGAATATATATTCAAAATGGCAATACCCTCTCCAAATGATAGGGTATACTGCGATATATAATATTGGAAAAGAGAAGCGAAGCCAGAAAACTGGTTGACACTGTGAGCGACTGGCCATAACATCGTTGACAAATCAGCAGCAGCAGAAACAGCAGCAACAGCAGCAACAGCAGCAACAGCAGCAACAGCAGCGTCAGCGTCAACGGCAATCCACGTGCGTGGGGGCAATAGGCGACAGCAAGCGTCACAACAACCGTAACAACATTCGAACAAGACCCAAACGATACAAAGATACATTTCGGAATCGGAATTGGAATTGGAATCGGTGCGAAGCAGTCGAGGCTTCGGATTGAATAATTCTTGACCAGAGAGAGACATTGACATAGTCGAATGCATAATGAATCCCCCATTCTAATGGCCCACATTTTGTACACAACTGTAACTCTCTGCTTCCCCCACCCTCTTTTTTTCTCTACCAACAAACCAACAAACATACTTGCAGCTTATTGAACTACTTTGAGCATCGACGTTTGTGCGACGTACGAGTGGAAGGTAATGGCAATTCGAAAATGAATGTCCAGATGTTATCTTTCACTGCCTCCCGCCATCCAAATGGACGCCCGATTGGTTTCTATTATAGATATACCCACATATATGATTTAATATGAACGTATATCTGAGAAATAGAAAATGCGGAAGAAAGGAGGAAGGGGAGGCTGTGTGCAGTTCGATGATGGAAAGATATCCGATGAGATCACAAATGATGCCATGACAACTATCGTACTTATTCAGGGTATGGTGTGGGCTTCAACTGCGAAATGTCTTACCAGTCCTGATGTTTAGAGATATTCAGTAAAAATCGAAAGTTATCGATTAGTGCTCGCTGCACTCAAATCCTTTTTATTGATAGGTTTTTCGATTATTTATTGATCATTTAATTTACAATTGATGGTTAGGATCGATTAGGTGCCCTTTGGTGTACGTACACATCACTGATTAAGGTTATTTTTATTATTTATTTCATCGGCAATCGATAATTTTCGATTGTTATATTAAACAATTGATTAGTTATCGATAAACTTAAGGTGGCATAATCAATTGGGTTTTTTCGGTACTTACTTTTTTGACGAAACTCTGAAACCAAATCGATAAGACGTTTCTGGAAATGGAGAAGCAGACAATGTGTGAATATTTTTGGATGTATACTCGTGCTATATGGAATATTAGGGAATGGGCACAGAATTGGCGGGGAGGGACAGGGACAGGGACATTTGTGAATGCTGATAAGCAAGAACATGGCCAGAAATGGGGATATGCTGAAAAAGCAGGGAGACACTGCAGGAAGGCCACAAAAAACAGGCCAAGAGAGCTACAGAGAGAGAGAGAGAGAACGAGACAGAGAGCAACACGACTCATGTGCACGCACTCGTTTGGTTACGAGTCGTCCAGGCGTCCTCTGTGCGTGTTTGTCAGGATGCGGAATCCGTAATCCAGAATCCAGAATCCAGGCTGCGGGATGCGGGATGCGAAATACGGGGTACGGGATTGAATCATTGAATCGAATTGAATACGTGCGAGCACGAAGCAGCATCAGAGCCAACCAACCCAACCCAACGCGCAATCTCTACGTGTCCTGTGTGTCCTGTGTCCTGTGTGTCCTGTGTGGATGCTGTGTGTCTCCTCCGTGTTGTTATGTATTAGCAAGATGTCAATGTATGTTTGCAAGGAATTATGTAGAAGCATCTCCTCCGATGGACAAACACACTCATGGAACGTCCCAAAAAAATGTGTGTCCATGGCCATTCCATGCCCGCGTTAAAGGCATCAAATGCTGTCCGATTCTGACAAACAAACAAACAAACAGAACAGAACCAGAACGGAACGGAAAAAAACGTCTACGAAAAGAAGAGGAACCTGCGGCTTTCTGATGCCCTATACCCATACCCATACCCATTGCCATTGCCATTGCCATTCGCATCTGTCCTCTCCTCTCATCTGTTGCCCTCAAATCGACATCAGTTGCTGATTTTTAATTAAAAATTTGCGACGTGTGAAGTTGATTTCAATTTGGGCTCCACCAAGCTGACAGATGAACTGATATAGGAACTGAAGCTGGCTCCACTGAATGGAAGAGCTACAGCCATGACATGCCACATGGACATGGAATGGTCCTCCTATTCTATCCTATCCTATCCTATCCTATCCTACTTCTGACCCTCTGACGATGTTCGTGACTGACCAACGGATGCAGAGGCGTGGGCTGTGGCGGGGGCTGAAGCGGGGGCCAGTTGATGGTTCTCGCGTGGCTGAAATAACATTTGATTCCTGGTGACAGTCGCCGCCCCCGGAACAGCGGCAGTCATCACATCACATGAGTTCTTCGTCCTACCGTCTCTCCTGTCTCCCGCCCCACCCAAATGGCGGGCGGCTTCATAAATATAGATTAGCAAATCGAAACAGGAAATGGAACAGCACATTAAACGGGGCGTATAGGGCATACAGGAGAGATGAGAGAGGTGGATGGTGGATGGCTTTGGCAAATGCATTTCGAAGGATGTCAGTGTCAATTCGAGTATCGATTTCAGACCATAGAAATCAATGGAAAGGCTGTGCCTGGCAGACAGTGGATTTTTAACTTTAAAGCGTGGCTTAATTCGTTATTTAACAGGCCGAAAGCGAATGCATTTGAGTGCTCTTTGGGTTATTCGAGGGATTCTTCATGCATTCGCAGGCAGCACTCGTGACCTATAGTCATACAGATTGTAATTCTGTTTGGTTTATCTTCCTCTATTGCCCATATTCTGTTTACCCATTCGATATGACACGCGTAAGCTTTGTTCGTCATATCGTTCATCGGCTGCAATCGAGTGGCAAGTGCATCCAAGCGATGCACCTTCCCCATCCCCCTGCCACCATGCCACATGCACTTCAATTTAGGGCTCTAATACGGGTATCAAAGTCATTGTTATATATACAAATACAGTGTATATGTGTGTATATAAGTACGAGTACCGTTATGGCATTAACCTTATCGGGCAGAAGACACTCGACCAAAAGGTACTTGACATTCACACGCGCACTCACACACGCACTCACTCACACTCACTCGCATTCACGCACTCGCAGGGCAAGAGATTCAATGTGATTTTGAGCAGAGCGCACGGAGTTTCCCTGTAAGAGAAGCAAACGGACAGACGGACGGACGGACGGACGGACGGATGGACAGATGAGCGGACGGATGGATGGACGGACAACGGGTCGTGTCGTCGTGAACGGTTTTTATGACCGATACGCGACCGAGGGAAGGGGCCGGGCAAGGGCTATTAACAAGTAATAATGACGACAACAGCAACAGCCATAAACTTGAGGAGGAGAGTGCAACAGTTGCCAGAGAGTCGCGGTCGCGGTCGCAGCCGCGGCTGTGGTGGTGGTGATGGTGCCACACACTTGAACCCATAAATTCTAAGAACCCGCAGATAACCTACATATATCTGTATAAACACCACACCACACCACACCACACCATAGCTCTTGCCATGTCTGGGCCCCGCCGCCTCGTGTGTAAACATTTGTGCGTGCCCCCCGTCTGAGCGATGTGCTTAAGCAAAGTGCAACAGCAGCAGCAGCAGCAGCCTCATGCCACATGCCACAACAAGCAACAAGTTGCTGCTTATTTTTATTATTGTTGCCCCGTTGATTATGACAACACACATTGCCGCACAGCCACACAGCCGCACCGCTGACTGATCTGCGGAGAAGCCACTATATGTAGTCGTATCTCTCGTTCTCTTTCTCTTTCTCGTTGGGTGTGCAAGAGACTGGCAGCGGAAGGGAGTCGTATGGATGCCACAATCTTTTTGTGTGTGACTCCAAATCGATCCACGGCTGTGGGTACATCTTGGAATACAGTGGCAAGTGGCAGTGGCAGTGGCTGCCATTAAACATTGACAACAAATTGTCGACCTTTCAGTGGGAAGAAAATAAATATGGTTATCGCTAATGAAATCCAATCCATAGAAAAAATGGGACTCTGACTGCCTAAGTGTGACCAAGCCTTATCAAAAATTAAAGGGCTACTGCAATAAGTAAGAGGATCTGTCTTGAGTCTGATTTTGAGGGAATTTATAGAGCATTAAGAAAGGGATTAAATCGCGACATTGGTCATTGTTTTGAGCTAAATACATAAACACTTCCGGAGAAGTTGTTAAAACATCAGAATACTTCTTTGGGTATTTTTTGGGAATATATGGGAATATTTATTCCCAATATAGTTATATGGGAATATTTATATTTATATATTAATATCAATGCAAAATCAAGTCAAAATGATAATGAAACTAAGAGAAATCATTTGAATATGACATTTTAATTGTTAAAATCGTACCGCGTCAAGCAGCAGTTCCCCTCGGTCGCCTAAGTCGGCGTATGGGCTGTTTTTCTGGAAGTAAAAAGCTGCGACTTGGCATCGTTTCTGCCACTGGATGGCATCCTAATAATTGGGGATACATATCCAGAATAGTCTCAGTAGAAATCTGGCTATCTAATCTTCATAGATGGGAAATATTCTGCATTAAATATTAATCTACAAAAATTATTTAAGAAATGTGCCCTAAATTGAATCGAAGAGACTGGAAAATATGAGAAGTAATTCCCCAAATTGTCCCATAGTCCAATGAGAGGAGGGCTCTGGCTCTGAGCTCTGTGTGCGGCCTCTGATAACCGGTATATGTTTCATGCCACACAAAAAGAATGGGCAAGGGCGAAGGGGGGGTTGGGTGATCGTGAAACAGCTGCTTCGCCTCCGAAGCAGAAGTTGCCACAAAAACAAAGAAGATGGGGATGGGGCAAGATGGAGCACATTGGGTGGCAAGTACTAAACGTTCCCTCTCTTTCTCTCCTCTGATTGCAGCGATTGATAGAAGAAAGCAATCCAGGAACTGGAGGATTGGCCATTGGATTGGACTCACGATGGCATCATCGAGATCTGCGAATGGGAGTGGAACTAGAACTAGAGCTGGTTCCAGCCGTTGGCTAATCAACTTCCTGCTGGCAGTGGCCGCCCTGCATCTGGGTGAGGGAGGTGGAGGTGGAGCCCATGCCCTGCCCATCACATCGCGTCCCATCGAGGGCAATGCCCAGCGGATGGCCTGGGACGAGTGGCTGAGCCTGCCGCTGGAGCAGAAGAGCCTCGAGAAGGAGAAGAAGGTGACGGCCAAGTCGATATTCACGCTCCCCTTCCGTCACTGTCCCCCGGGGCATACGCTGTACAACGAGCACTGCATACCGCAGATCAACATCGATCCCGCCGATCTGCTCAAGCAGGAGCTGATCTACGCGAATGCGGGGGCGCCCGGCTCTGGCAGTCCCACGGCCATCATCACGGACTACGACTACAGCGAGGATGGCAGCGAGGAGGTGTCCGGCGATGAGCTCCTCTACGACCTGGAGCCACAGTCACAGCAAACGACTGTAGAGGGCGAGGACCAGGCCCTGCCCAGTGCGGATGCCCCATTGAAGTTTAATATATTCGAAAAGAAGTTTCCCACGGGCCCAGCCACCGGCGGGGAGTCCTCACCAGAAGAGTCGCCCGAGGAGGAGACAGCCAGGCAGCCGCCAATAGATGTGGTCACATCCACCACCACCACCACGCCAAAACCCACAGCCACAGCGACTCCGAATCCCAGTCCGAATCCAAAACCAACTCCCAGCAATCGCATTCCTGGAGGAGGAGCAGCAGGAGGAGATCTCCAGGCTGCCTCCAGCAATGCCTTATCCACGACATCCTCCACCAGCAGCAACATTGACATTGGCAACATTGCGGCCATTGTGGTGCCCGCGGGGGGTCAGATGGTGCCCCAAGATGCCTCCTCATCATCCGTCCTTCTGATGACAAGTTCCCTGACGACTGCCGATTCGAATGCGGATGCAAATGAGAGTGAAAAAACGAATGCGAATGCGAACGGCAATGGAATGGGCAATTTTAAGGTGAATGGCAATGCGGAGGCGGAGGCGGATCTGGCTCAGCTGCTCAAGGTCGATGCATTTCTGCCTGCCTATGAGGGCAGCAGCATCGAGCTGTTGCCGCCGCCACCGCCCTTCAATCATCGCCGTGTGGCGCCGCCGCTAAGCGCCGATCAAGATGATTCAGATGCAAAGCAGGAGATGCTTATGGATATGGATATGGAGGAGGAAACCACCACAGATATTGTGGATGTAGACACTACTGACACAACGGAGACAACCACCACCACCACCACAACTGTTGTAGAGGCGGAGACAACAATGGAGGAGTCATCGTCACCGTCATCATCGTCTCCAGCATCTCCATCTACAGCACAGCATCCGCAAGCGCATCAGAAAGAAGAACCAGAGATAGATGAAGGTGGAAATCGGCTGCTTTTGACAAAATCGAAAGTGCAACCGGTTCAGGTGACAGCAGCAGCGACATCTACAACATCCACACAATCCACGAGCACGACCACGACAATTGCAGCTGAAACCCAAGAAGCTGCCTCGACCGAAGACGACCGGTTTCATTATCAGCAGATCCCCAAAGATGTGGCTGCCACAGAGATCCCCACCACCACTAGCACCACCAGCAGCAGCAGGAGCAACATCTTCAATGGAGAGCACCCTTTGCTGGTGGAGGAGGCGGAGGAGGAGAGTGACAATTTAATGACAAATACCATTGGTGGTGAGATTAATGTTGATGAGGAGCTGCGGAAAATAAACGAGCTGGTAAAGGGCACGCGGCGATTTTTGCAACAGCAGCAGCAAGCATCCAGCAGCAGCAGCACTGCGTCATCATCAACGACTTATGCCACAGAAAGTTCTACAAGTTGGTCAAAGCTCATGCCACAAACAACATCTGAAACATCAACAGAGACAACTGCAACTGCAACAACAGCTGCAACAGAGAGCACTACTAGCAATGTTGCAGAAAGCACCAACACAGCAGCAACATCTACAGCAGCAGCAGCAGCATCAACAACAGCAGCAACATCTACAACAGCAGCAACATCAACAACAGCAGCAACATCACATTTAAGTATTAATACAAATCGTAGCAATAGAAATAGTAAAATAATTAGAGTAGCGCAAGGGGAAGATTATCTTGTGGCAGATGAAACAACGACAGTGGCAACACCAGCAGCAACATCCACAGAAGCAACAGCAACAACAGGCAGCAACACCCAACAGCAGCAGCAGCAGCAGTAAGGATGATGATGAATATACACCATTCTGGTGGCTGCCGAATATTGGTTGGCGCGTCGATCGTCAGGTCGACAGGAATGGCGAGGATCGGGCGCTGTTGTTGCGCTTCTTTAGCACATTTCGAGCGGGCGATGGAGCGATGGCCTCCACGCTGTCACCGCGACGCTAACAGCTAGCATCAGCAGTTGAGAGTTGAGGTAGAAGAGAGAGAACTGTGCTCCCTGTGGCTCTTGTAACTAGCAAGAGAGTCGCCTGGAGAAGCAGTGTTGATCAGCGCCGAGCAGTGTTGAGCAGCGTAGGGTGTAGTGTCGTGTGTCAGCAACAGCGTTTTCAATTTGTGTTGAAGTCTGTCCCCAGTTGTTCGTTCACCCTTACACCAAAACCAATCCACGGATCCCCTTTGGATCCTCCACTTCCCTTGTATTTTCTGTATCCCAGCCCATCCTTTTATTTTTTTAGTCTTTTATTAATGCCAAAATTGCCCCAGACCCCTGAATTTGTAAATAGCAACAACTACACTTGTTTCATTATTATGATCCCTTTTCAATTGGCATTGTTTTTTCTTTAAAGATTTAATTTCCCCCTCCAAATAGTATATGTATATCTCTTTTTTTTTGTGTTACAATATTTAAAAGTGCTGCATGTTTTAAGTTGTTGATTTAATTTTAGTCAGAGGTGTTTTTTTTTTTATTACAATAGTTTTATATGGCACTGCCGCTGCTGCCGCCGCTGCTGCTGTCGTTGTTGCCGTCGCCGTCGCCGCGAAACCTTAGCAATATATAATTGTGATTATTTACGGAATAGAACCCATAGATCTAAGCACCATATAAATGTATTTTGTAAATCCAACGGAGTGGAATGTGTGGAATGGAATCTTTCGATGTATTTTTTTTTTTTATGAATTAATAATATTATTATTGTATTGTATAATCCAGCATTTGTTGTAGCTCTGTCTCTGTGTATATATATTTAATTTTAAAGATGGTGTGTAAGATGCCACCACAAAGATGTATCCGTATCTACTTGCTAGCATTTAAGCGTACTATTTATGCTATCCCCACAACGCACTCTCTCGTATTGTAAACCAAACTAAAAGCTAAACTAAAACCTAAACTAATTGTAGTGCATGTACATAGGAAATAGAGATCTGCCTTCGTTTCGATCGTCTTGCCCACAGGATACAGTCTCTGTATCTCTGTATCTGTGCATCTGTATCTAGCGCCCCGCAAAGGAAGTGTGAAACGAAACGAATGATGTTTTTTTTTTGTCAATTGAAATTCTACCAACAACCAAAGTTCTGAAGAAAAACAAATACGAAAAATGCAAAAAAAAAAAAAATTGCTGGCTTTTCTTTTTCTTTTGTTTTGGGTTTTCTATGATTTAATAGCACGACAATTGTCGCTTGTGGCATGCCGCTTTGTGGTAAGTTTTCCAAGTATGAATTGGCTGCGATTATGCGGGATTAAGAACAGGCAGAACAGGGCGAACTTCCACGGGGAGCCAGCAGGACAAACGGCAAACTCATTCAACTGTAATAGAGCGGGCGTGCTGCCCAGGGCTCCTCTTCATTGCTGCCTGCCTGCCTGCCTCCCCGCCTCCCTGCCACCATGCTCGGAACTTTATGAAGATACCCCCAGCCCCAGCTCACTCTATGGCCGAAAAGGTGGTGCCGACAAAGGTCGCCGTGCAAGCCAAACCAGAAATCAGAGGAGGAACAGTGCACAAAAAATTGAAGAATGTTTCGCAGGTTTGCCTTTTGCCGTGCAACCAACTGAGAGACAAACAGGCAGTAGGCGGCAGGCGGCATGTGGCACAGGGCGAACAGCCTCTTTGAGTGGCCCCAAAGAGTTGTCGAAGGATGGGGATCCACATAAACACACACACACACATGTGGAGAGGAGGCACAAAGGAAATAGAGAGGAAGAAGCAGATGTGGCAGCTGTCGCTGTGCCACTGACGAATCCATTCCACAAATTTGCAACTGAAGGATGGAAACAAAATCAGCGACAGGAAGCTCATGCAAGCATGAGAAGGACTGTACACACACACACACACAAGCGAGGGCTGCTCTGGGATTTTGTTTCCTTTAAACTGTCACATATCATATTCTCATGGATCGTCCCTCGTTAGGTGCCCAAATATCCTGTCACAAATCTGTAGGTGTGAGAGGAGCTAGCAGAAAGACGGCTTCTGCTGTATGTTCCCGAAAAATGCCATTAGGAAAATTCAGCATATCCCTCTTCCTCACTCTCTCTCTCTCGCACTCTCCCTTTTTCTCTTTCTTTGTGTGTGTCTGTTTGCTATCTCTGTTCTGCCTGATCCGTTTTTTTTTTGTGCCAGAAAATGTCTTGGGTAAACATATGCAGGCGGGATGTTAACATGGCGAATAAAATCATGCGAGCAGAGCACAATGAATGACTCCTCTCTCTCTTCCCTATAAATATATTCATATTTGTGTGTGTGTGTGTGTGTGTTTAGTATCTGTGTGTGTTTGCCTAACGAGCTGCATTAGTCGCTGATTGTAGCAGCTGAGAAACTGAATCTGAATGTGAATACGCATCTCGTTTCCGGCCCACTTTCACCTGCTCCGGGGACTGGAACTGGGAACAGGGAACTAGGGACTGGGCACTAGGGACTGCTCCAGTGACTGTTCCGACTGTTACTGTGACCGTTGCTGTGACTGCTACTGTGACTGCTCGTTCCTGTTCACCACCATCCATCCCATCCCATCCCATCCCATTTTCCGAGCATCATATTTTCTCTTTTCATTTGCATACTTCTGGCTGCAAAATAAATGTCCAATTCATGTAGAAATGGTGTAAATGCATTCAAACTTTTGACATTCAGTGGGGCGTAGATCTCATGTAGAATTCCCCATGTCATGTAGCAAATTTTATACATAAATATGTAGATTCTGCCCTATCAATCCCACAAGGGCCCAAGTATTATGCTTTTAAAATTTAAATCAATAATACTCAGAAACAAAACCACAAACAATTAATTAGTTTAGAGCCGAATTTTTTCAACAAGTCCACCACATCGTATTTATATCTGGTATGGTGCACATTTACCTCGATTGACCCCTAAAGCTCAAAAACTAAAAAAAAACGTCTCATTTTTTCTGTGGATTGATAAGCTTGAGTCTAATACATATTTAGAGAAAGGAATATAAAAACTTACTGCCTGGAAAACTCTTAGGAATCACTGGAAAATCCGAGCCAAAAATAGCTAGCGAGTATATTAAGAATGTATGGGGCTAGTAGGACTCCGAATCGAGAGCCCAAGCAGAAGTGTATGAAGTTTTAGAATTTAATTCTAGATATTTGGTATCTGCTTACAAATCGAGAAACTGGCAAATTCAATCGGCAAAGATTGAAGCTAATAAGTGCTCGGGTTTTGGGAAACAGTATTTATCGATGATCCCTGGGCTTAAAAAAAGCATTTTAAATAAATGCATAATTGAGAAATGCCTCTGCCAGTGGAGTGGGTAGGAATGCTCCAGGAAGGGACTAAGAACATTCATAAAATAAGAAAGAACGAAAGAAGGAATGAACGGGTATAGAGAACATATTAATATACCCTTCATATGTACATACATACATGGAATAGTGATTGGATAGTTATTTGTCATTTATCCATGGAATGAAACATGTTGTTCACCCACAACCGATTCTTGAACTTAAGATAAAGTGATACCCAATGCCCGGCCGCCGTTACAAACAAGTTCTTACAGCAGTAATACCCTCTCTGCAGAGGAGCGATGCAGAGGAGTGATATGGTGTGCGCTTGTGTGTGTCCTGCTGCTGCTGATGCTGCTGCTGCTGCTGTAAGCCAGCCCGATGGCAAAAGGAAACTGGTGTTTATTTAACTATTAAGCAGAAGTGCACACAGACACAGACACAGAGCGACGCACTTAAACGCTTCTTGCAACAGAGTCTCTCTCTCTCTCTATCTCTCGCTGTATCTGTGAGTGTGTTTTTGTGCCTGGGTGTGTGTGCCTGTGTGTGTGCATAAAATATAAATGAAACGACGCCTAATGCCATGCAATACAAAAGTCTCGAATGTGTTGTGCAGTATTTTAGTTTTCAATGGCCTGAGCTTTTATGCAAAACAAACACACACAGCCCCCTCCCGCTCCCGCTCCCTCTTTGTCAGTGTATTTGTGTGTGTGTGTGTGTGTGCGTACATATTTGTGTTTGTATTTAACAGTTGAGGCATTAGCCATTGTCTGCCATCATCCTCTCCCTTTCATCACTCCATCCCTACAGCAGTCCCTCAATCTATGCCACCCGATGCGGCACAATCTGCTCAATGAATCTCAAAAGGTTTGTCCCTGCCACACCCACACCCACACGCACACCCTGCCACCTCCTCAGTATCTGTGTGTGTGGGTGGGTTCGTATGCCTTTGTTTGAATTCGTGTGCGTGTGCTAAATCAAGCGGTAATTGGTTCTTCTTCTACCACCACCACCGCCACTGCCAGTGCCACTGCCACTGCCAGTGCCAATGTGCCGCTCTCTTGGTTCTTGTGCCGCTGTTTATATAATTGAAACTAACACAAATAACACTGCAAAAGCTTTCTGATTATGGGGATTTGCGCCAGCCGCAAAATGAGCGCGCCCCAGAGCCCCTGCTTGAGGCAAGAGGCTCGAGGATGCCGGCAGGTGAAGGGCGCCAATGCCACCAAATGCAGTGCTGCGGCACCATGGGCACACAACACGAAGAATCGGTCGAAAACTTCAATCAATGATTAATCGATAGGAATTTTATCGATTTGATTTGATCGATAAGTCAGAGAAAGCATTATCCAATAATTAAAAGTAAAATCTCCTTTTAATTCGATTCCTTTCATAGTTAATCCCCAAGCACAATCGATAGAATATGCCATGGGTGCAGATCGATTAATCGATCAAGAGGATCAGGGATCAGGAACCCAAATATTGCCCTTCACAAGCCGATGAGGGAACTAAAAGCGTCTCGGTGTGATCGAAAACTCCTTTTGTGCTCAAAATATTTACGAAGTATGCAAAGAGAAATGATTTTATGAGTATTATTTTGCTCTTTGTTCCATAAAAATAATATTTACACGAATACTTTGGTATTCAATTACCCAATAAATAAGTTTTTATCGTACATCAGCAAACATTAAAAAAATGAAACGGGAAACACTACATCGAAATAACTGAGGAGAAAACTGTTGCAATCTCATTCCTATTCGGCATGCAATTTTCTTAATTGATAATTGAATATTCAAATGAAGCTTGCCATTTCCTTTGCGCTTTGAAGACCCAGTAAAGAGGCTGGGGAACAGCACCCCAGAACACCAGAACACGTTACCCATTTCTGGTCATTCATTTCCCCATTCTGGCCCACTGTACGGCACTGTATTGGCATCCATAAAACGCAAGATGGATCCAAAGGCGCATACGTATGTTCCAATGGGTGTGTGTGTTTGGAGTGCGTGTGTATGTGTGTGTGTGAGGCTGCTGCTTGATTACTGCTGTAAGCTGGTGTGGGAGTGTGATTGCCTAAGCTGCTGTTAACTTAAGTATAACAATGATAAGGATAACGTTGGCCGATTGCTGCCTCTGCATGGCTCGTTTCGTTCATGCCACACGTGTGTTTGCACCTTATTTATTTGCCTCTCTGAAGCTCTGCCCCTGCCACATACTCAAACATTCGTGTTAAGTAATTGGAATGGTTAGGATTGGGTTTTGGGCATCCATA